TCCATGGGGGCCCCAGCTCGCTTAATGTATCTGCTACTGATGGCTTGGTGCCAGATACCACTGATTACCTTCCTGATTGGCCAGAAAGCCGGTCCCATGCTCTCTAGTCACAAGTGACGAGGGAGCATGGAGCCGGCTTCCCGACCAATCGGGAAGCGGAGCAGCATGCAATGACACGCTGCCCGGCTTCCTGATACTGGAAGTATCGAACTCGGCATCGGAGCATTTGGGGAGTACGGGTACTCGCCCAAATACTCTGCATCGGCACCGATACCAATACTAGTATCGGTATCAGTGCATCCCTAGTACATGTACCTTTTTTCAGCGATGGCCGCGTGCATATAACCCCAATTAAATCAATAGGGCCACGTGGCAAACGCTGTGTGCAATTGTGCATGATCACGCAATTGCCGATATGTGAACCTAGCCTGAAAAGGTCTTCCTCTCTACCTATCACAGTGACTACACAAGATATGAGGACACAAAGGTCACAGACAAGATTAAAAACCAAACAGAAGTTATAACTATCTATGCTTTAACCTCAAATGTCATATAAATGGCAGCAGTGGTTGTCAAGGTGAAAGGAAGTCATGTCCAGGTGATAGTAAAATCTGTACTAGTAAAATGGGACATTTGCATTATTGATCATCCAGAATGAGGAGCTGCTGCCAAAGAGGTTTGCATCTGAAGGAATAAAGCACATATTAAAATCCTTCTGTGCAAGTACATTTTGTATTTTGTAACATAGGATATGTGGTTTTATGAAGGCATTGAGTTTATGTTTCTGTAATACCAACATTTCCTGTACACAAGAGAAATCATACACATCAAAAGAAAAATATGCTTTCAAACCATAACAGACCTCCAATGTACTGATGACATCTACCTGATATAGATACAATATCACCCCCCCACACAGCTACCTCCTCATGTATCAATTGCCCCTCCCTTTTAGATTGTCCCTTTTAGAGGGCCCCCCTTATCTTCTCGTGCTGAATTGTATTGTGATTGTAATGTCTTCCTTATATTGTAAAGCGCTGAGCAAACTGTTGGCGCTATGTAAATCCTGTATAATAATAATATACCACAAAAGAAAAAAATGAAGCAATAAACCCCCAAAAAACAGACAAGTCGTGTCCTCCGCAAGACTGTATAGTGTACATAAATAAAAACAAGTTCCAAGGTACATGAAAACCCAACAAAACCCAATATTCGCCCCAAATACCCAATGATAGATACTACACATCCACCAGGAGCAATAAAATGCATTGCACTCATTAGTTGATGTATGCACACCAATAGAAAGAACCATAAAGTAAAAGTACAGCAGGCAGTGCTGAAATGCTTCTATCTGAGCTTGGCCTCCCAGTGCCATTGGTTGCTAGGACTCTATTGGCTGGGCCTTCTAGTGTCAATTGTGACTAGGACCAGGGATTAAGAGCATCACGGGCCTGTTGCTGAGGATTTCGGTGGGCCTTTTTATGGAAATATCGACGGTCACCAGTGCCAATGGTGGAGTGCCAGTGCCCGGCTGCAGCTGTGAGTCGCTGCCACTGACTCCAAGTTGTTGAGAGACTACAAATACCAGTAATACGTTATATAGCAATGCAGAATACCATCAGCTATAGATGACTACAAATCCCAGCAATAAATCATACAGTGATGCAGAATAATACCACCAACTATAGAGAACTACAAATCCCAGCAATGCAGAATACCACCAACTATAGAGGACTACAAATATCAGTAATACGTTAAATATAGCAATGCAGAATGGCATAGACTATAAAGGACTACAAATAAGATACATTGTTGTTAATAGTTAAGGTACTTGGATGTATTTTAAGGTTTAACTCCTGAGCGTAGTGTCACTTTAAGCTTGAATGTCATATAAATGCCAGCAGCAGTGGTGGTAAAGGTGAAAGGAAGTCATGTCCAGGTGATAGTCAAATCTGTACTATTAAAAATGGGACGTTTGCATTATTCGTCTTCCAGAACGAGGAGCTGCTGCCAAAGAGGTTTGCATCTGGAGAGATAAAGCATGACAAGCACATATTAAAATCCATCTGTGCAAGTACATTTTGTATTTAGTAACATAGGGACATGTGGTTTTATAAAGGCATTGAGTTCATTTATTTAATGTATTTATTTCATGTAAAATTTAATTAAATGTTATTTCATTTATTTTTTCTGTATTTCTAACATTCCCTGCACACAACAGAAAGCACAAATGTTCTATTATATTTGAAGAAAATGATGATCCTCAAACAAAAAAAGCTTTCCCTTAGAGGAGATCACAATCACAGTCACATATTGTCTGAAAACATGAACAAGGCGTTAGCTTCCCTTTAAAGTGTATGTAACCTCTTAATGTAAATTACAGATGAGATTTCCCAGCAATGTTTCCCAGCGGATGTCACCTTCCCAGAATGCAACGCTTAGGTACAGATTACATCACTAATGCCCAAGTGAAAAAACAATCATTGTTGGTAAAAGAAAAATATGTTTGTTTAATGAATGTGAAATGATTTTATATCGGCATGCAGAGCTGTATGCTAATGTGATTTTTGATCAAGCAGCACATTGTTAATTACATGAACATGGAACACCTAATCAACCTGACTGACCTCCAGGGTCCCAAATACCTCACTGTAGAACAAGGAGATTAACTGCCTCTATGCTCTACATGGAGACCCTCCGAGGATGCGGAGGACAACAATTTGTTCCAATTATATATTTCCGCAAAACCATTTTATCAAGCGAACCTGTAATTATATAAAGAACCAAACATTAGCATATAAGCGCTCAGTTGTGTTGTTCCCTATGATCTGCCCCAGCTCAACGACTAAGCAAGTCATTGGGTGAAATGCAATCGAAAGGGGAGGACCTTGGGCGGGACATCTGTATCATGGACGAGCCTCAATAAAGTTTTAAGGGGTTATTCACGAAGGAGCCGAAGGTTCCAGCCATAGCTTCCGCCGATTCTTCGGCCGCTGTAGCCCTTCGATTCAGTCGAACCGAAGGGCTGCTGTATGGGCTATTCACTATAGCGGCAGCGGCACGGCCGAGCGGCTCAGCCGAGCTGAAGTGACAGCCGAAGCGGGGCGAACACCCTGCTGAAGCTCTGCCATTCGCCCCACAAATGACAGCTGGGTGGAGCGCGGCTGGCTTCGCCCAGTTGTAATGACAAATCAGCGTCCCCAAATGACCTGGGGATGCTGAACTGTCATTAAACAATAACAACTGGGCGGAGTCAGCAGTGACGTCACTAGCTGTCACTGCTAGCTCCGCCCAATTGTTTTTTTCCTCTCTTTTAATTAAAATCATAACTTATTTTTTAATTTTACTATTTGTTTACATTTAAAAGATATTTTTCAACCTTTTTTTTCTAATCTCTTTCCACTGATTTCCTATTCTGCTTGGTACCACGGAGGTACCGAGTGAATAGCCAAGCGGCATTCGGCTATTCACTCACTTCCATTCGGCCCATTTGAGAATAGGGGCGAACAGCAGCGAGTGAGCTGCCGGAGCATTGGCTCAGCTGATCCAGATGTTGGATCGGCCGAGTCAAAGTCCTTCTGCACTTCGGCTCAACCGAACAAGCAGAGCATGTTCAGCTGACCAAAGTGCACGGCTGATTTTAGCCAATGTACAGCTGAAATCAGCTGTACAAGCCAGAGGTGAATATCCGCACGTAGTTCGGCTAACTTCACTACGGCTGGGTTATTCACTTGGCTGCCTTCGCCAGCTTTGTGAATAACCCCCTTAGTGTTCTACAGCGTTTTCTGGTGTACGGCCGGATTTCTTACGTATTTAATGCAATTTACTGCTCTGTATCACAGGAATATAAGAACAATCTTCTCAAGAGGGAATTCCATTACGTGTGAGAGATTTCCTCTTGCTTCTTGTTGTGTTTGAAGGACAGGAAGTGGAGGAAAGAAATGTCTTTAATGGGAGACGAATAACAAACAAAACCCTTTCAGGGGTTTTAACTAATCCCCGCTCCATCCAAAATAATCAAGTGGCTTTAGATATGTCATGGATGAAGTCATCCTTCTGGCTATGCAATGCAGGATATATCAAAATCAAAAATATTTATCGGCAGGTAAAACTGTGTATTACCTCTCACAGGGATCCCAGTACTCCCAATCATCAGGCATCATCCAAGGTCCCCATCAACTTTCTCGACTGAGATGCCACCTCAGAGATGTCACAGTCGGGTAAATCTCAGTTCATGTTCAGTTCTTGGCTGTCACCTTTTACCATGTGACTTGCTACAATGTTGCGGTCTGATCACTGGGGGAGGAGACTGAGGAAATGCTTTCTGCAGCAGAGATGGCCTCAACTCAGCCTAGGCAAAGTCACTGGACTGGAGCTCAAAGATGGATTTTTAGTGATAAAAGGTGGAGCTTTTCCTGAAAACATCCAGGGGCCAGCCAAGAGAACCTCCATGTTTCTGACATGTCGGTTTCTTTAAGCACCTATTATTACCTGTTATGTTTGGGAGGGTACAACATGGCAACTGTCCAGGATTGATGCTTAAAAGCCTCTCATTTCATCAAGAGGTCAGATCTTTGGTACACCGGCCATGTCTGAGGATCTTCACGAGCATTCTTATTTTTTCTTTTTAATCTGTACTTTACAGCATGAATATACTTTAGTTAAAGAGTTTTGAATTTAATCTCTGCCAGTCTACAGTTCTGGAAAAGGCAGATCCTTAGCTACTGCAGCCCAGTGCCCCACAATACATCCAAAATGGGTTTTATGCTTTCATTAATTTTGTCTTTCATTAATTTTGTCTTTCAGGTAAAGAAAGGTGAAGGACATCTAAAAACCATCATGACGTCTTCAGCCTTACTGATCGCCTACGCCGTAGGTTTCGCTGAGGCTCTTTTGGGCTTGGTGACTAACGTCTTCATCACAACCATCAACCTCCTGGCAAGAAGTTGAAGCCCTTTGACAAAATCTTTTTGAGTCTGGGACTCTCTCGTTCCATCCACATGTGTCTCATCATCTTTAACATTATCATTCGAGCCTTCAACCTTAACGTTTACAGCGTTAATGTTCTCAATTGGATCCTGAATGTGACGTGTTTATTCCTAGACTTCTCCAGCCTTTGGTTCGCCATGTGGCTCTGCGCCCTCTACTTTGTCAAGGTCACCATCTTTAAAAGGGCTTTACTTATTCACATGAAGCTAAGAATCCCTCAGCTTGTGCTTTACATGACTGTATCATCTGTATTGATCGCATTGCTGTCCAGCTTTATATTTGTCTACAATTACAATGAACCTTTGGATTTGTTGATTCCGGAACTCAACCTGTCGAGCAACTCAAGCATCGAGAAAGAACTGATCTTCATACCTCCAGCGTACTTCCTTGGACATTTTCTGCCCTTATAATGGTCAGCATTTCAACAACATTTTTGATCCAAACGATTGTCGGTCACGTGAGACGCATAACGAATAACATCACCAGCTTTACCACACCAAGGATAAATGCCCACCTTACAGCTATTCGGTCAGCTTCTCTGGTGGAGTTCATGACCATCTCTTACTTCATCATGACCATTTTACTTCGCTTTAATTTCTATCAAACCTTAAATAAGGCTGTTGTCTTTGTGTTAGTCACCTCCTACCCAACGTTTCATTCCATGGTGCTGATAGGAGGAAATGTAAAACTGAAAAAGAGGCTGTTAAATGTTGTCCACTATGTGAAAGGATGTGAACCACTGGGAAACTCTTGCAGCTCATGTGAGAACCCCAAGTAGAAAAAAATACATATTTACACAATGTTTTCATCATTTATCTATGAATTTACATGGGTTTAACTTCCTTTGAGATTTACATCATTTTAAAAATACTGAATGTATCTGAATATATTTATGGTTCTGCTTTATGGAAATAATAAATGTTAGATCATGAAATTTGTTTCCTTTATTTCATTTCTCCAGATAGGAGTCAGGGGTGTCCCTTGCCTTTTTTAGCATCTGAGGTGGGTAGGGTGGGGGCGTGTGTTGGTGCTGGTGGAGCAAGTTCTGAAGTTCTGGGTGGGGGGGTTTGCTGCTAGTGGTGCACGTTGGAAGTGGTGCTGGTGGTGCATGCTAACGGGGGTGATTTATCGCACCAGCCCTGGCTCTGGCTCTGGCCTGTGTCCCCCCAGCTGAATCAACTGCTTGCCCGGAGCTGGGTCAGACCATTTATTGTATTTAACTTAATTTTTTTAACCTTTTATCTTTTTTTACTTTACTTACTTAGTTACAAGCCCCCCTATGTGATAGTATATTAGTGGTTAAGGTGACATTAGGGATCTATTAGACCCCTAGTGTCACCTTTCCACTTCAAAGAAGCTATCCAAGTACAGATCGTACTTTAATAGCTTATTCCATGGCTTCTCTAGCCGGGGAATGACAGCTGAGGAACTTGTAGTGATGCAATTAGTGGTGCTTCCGGCTCCATTCAGCAGGGAGGGGGTATCTCTCAATACAAAACACAAAAAAGTCCCCAGCACACCTGCCAGCTAGCCTGCAGCAAAACAAATTACCCTGTCAACAGTATACGCTAAAAGCAGAGGTTTTAGTTGCACAAACCTTTGGGCAAAAATATGTAGAAGCCGCACTGCCCCATCAAGGCTCCTCTGTGAAATATGGTCCTAACTCTATTTATATGAGTCTCCATGTTGGAGCATATTAATGCAGTCGATAAATTCAATGCAGGTGACTATGTGATAGTATATTAGTGATTAAGGTGACATAAGGGAACTATTAGACCCCTTGTGTCCCCTTTAAACTTCAAAGAAGCTATGCAAGTACAGATCGTGCTTTAATAGCTTATTCCCTGGCTTCTCTAGCTGGGGAATGACAGCTGAGGAACTGGAAGTGATGCAATTGGTGTTGCTTTTGGCTCCATTCAGCAGGGAGGGGGTATCTTTCCCCTTTACCCTCCGACACCAGTGATGCTGGAGGGGCAGTGTAGCCTGTGAAGGCACTCTTCACCACCCCTTGGAAACAATATGGTGGCAGCTCAGCCACCACAATTCCTTCCAGTGTAAAGCCAACCTTTGGGTTTACACAGCTAAATAGCTGTAGCCACCTGTCTGTTTTGAGTTGCCCGCTGCCAGTGATGTGCAGCATAGGTTGTTGGCTGCAAAAACCTTAAATCCCAATGCCCACATGGACATTTGCAAAGGAATTTTTCCCTTAGCTTAATGAATGAGGTGAAGCTCTGCTGACTTCCATCCTCCTATAATATGCAAGCAAACATACTTTTTTTAAAATTTGCCTTGCACGTGATTGGGTATTCCTTGCAAAGTCACATATCACCACATTCACTAAGCTAAGTGCAAATTCCCTTTCAAAGTGAACATCATATTTGCCTTTAGTAAATCAACGCCATAGTCCCAAAGTAATCCAAAGAAGGCAAGATCCCGGAGCTTTAACAGACTTATGTTTCTTTATTTGCACTACACGGCAGTATGGGGTACGGATAGTGCAGTGGCATAGGGAAAGGAGCATTCACCCAAAGGTAAGCATAGCGCAAAGGGGGAGAGAGGCCAGATTGGAGGGGGTAATTCCATTTTCCCAAACTCACCTGGGAATGTGGAATTACCCTTTAATACATCATTAAAGGACAACTATGAGGTGAGTGAAAATCACTCATCCTCATAGTTCGAGCCGACGCGTGACAATTAAACTGTCACGAGCTCGTGTTTTCCTAACATAATGTAAAAAAAACTTTTTTTTTTCAAAATTTTCTGTAATTTTTCCTAATTATAATAAAAAATAAAAACCCCAGTGGTGATTAAATACCCCCAAAAGAAAGCTCTATCTGTCCCCAAAAAATGGTATAAAATTCATTTCAGTACAGCGCTGCATGACGGAATAAACATCAGTCAAAGGACTGCAGCGCTGAACACTGAAAAATGGCCTGGCCAGGAAGGGGGTCTAAACACCTGGTCTTGAAGTGGTTAAAGTACAGTATATGTGAGCTCAATACAGCCAAAGTTCATTGTAAAACAGAAAATAATATTTGTTTACCATGTTTGCATTTTATCAAAAATAAACATTTTGTACAATATGGCGGTCATGTGACCGCTCAGCCTTCTTTCAGACCCCTCTTCCGCATACCAGGAGTGTGCATTTTTCAACATCATACAGAATCAGGGAAGTACTCTCCTCGTCTGTGCATACTGCGTCCTAGAAGCAGCTGTAATTTTAATAGAGAGGCTTCTGCTGGGTGCTTCTGTCAATCAGCACAGGAAGGGGCCGGACAGGGGGTGTGGCTTAAAAAACAACTAGGGAAGATGCAGGCACACTGTACGTTGGCACAGTGTTAGCATGGATCTGCTCCCGTGCTCGGCATGTCCAGTTTAAAAAAAAAAGTACCAAGGGCAACTGGTAGGATCACCAGGTTTTTAGGACCATCAAATGGAATAAATAAAAACAAAATAATGACTACATTTGGTAAGACCTATATGATTAACCCAACACATACAGTATATTACAGATTCTTTGAGTAGCATACACTTTAAGTGTATTATTTTTAAATGCAAGCAGTATACGTACCAGAATCTGACCTGGTATTAGCCTCTTGTACTACCTGTACAGCAGGGCCAGAGTGTGAGAGGAAGAAGCAGTACTAGGTGCCAATCAGTTCACGTGAAATAGCATGCTGATAGAAGAGAGAGCAGGGTGATAGAGAGATGAGCTCATAACTGTGCTGCTTCTCTTTTCACTGTCCAGTCACAGACTGGAGGCTTGTCGGGGATGACTTGGGCCCAGAAGAAGTGGTTTGAACAATGCTGGTCTTCAGGCTGAGGACAACTACTGGCAGAAAAAGTAAAATTTTCGTATCAAAGCTGAATATTGCAGCCAAAGTTGTTTTTGCTATTTTATATTTTACTGGGCTGTTAATTTTTATCTTGTTATCTTTGGCTGGAGCTCTGCTTTACCAAAATACATAAAAGTATTTGCATTTAAATCAAAGGACAGTAGTCACAGTGACTGAATCATAAACAAATGTCAAAGTAGGTAGACAAGCTCATGATATGTGACGGTTGCTAGGCTAAGAGTTTGAATGTTTTCATCGTCAGTTTTTATTTTGCATTAAAAAAATGGTCTACTGTAAGAAAACAAAGTATCAGTATCCTAAATAGGATTATATAAGTTGACATAACAAAACATGCAGAATCATTCATGATTCCATTAAACGAGTGAGATCCACACAGTGGGTCAGGTTCTCCAGCCGACATGTCTGTTTCCAAAGCTTTGATCTTTGAGGGGGTGGGTTGTGTGGAGGTTCTTGCGGGTTTAGTGGTTAATACCTTCATAACGGCCATCAATCTCAGAGACTGGTGGACCAGCAGAAAGCTGAAGCCTTATGATAAGATCATGGCCAACCTTGGATTTTCCAGAGTCTTTCTTTTGATCTGCTTCTTCCTCCGGATTGTCAATCGGATCTCCAAGTTGAATGTCTACTCTAGCCCTGCTCAAAGGTGTGCTTTCCGGACTGCTCAGTTGTTATTTGATTTTGCCAGTCTGTGGTTCGCCATGTGGCTTTGCCTCCTCTACTTTGTGAAGGTTACCATGTTTAAAAACCACTTCTTTGTCTGGGTGAAACTGAGAATACCACAGCTGGTACCGCCTGTAGTCATCATAACCTATGTCGCCTCCTTCATTTTTGGATTTATTTATGCTTTTTCTGTTGGAGAAACTTCAGATGTCATGGACGGGGTCAACCTGCCTACAAACAGAAGTGTTTACAAAGAGTTGAGCTACATGATACCATTGTACTTCATTGGACATGTTTTGCCTTTCATATGTGTCAGTATCTCGACTTCGTTATTGATTCAAACTATCGGTCATCACATAAGACATGTCAAAGCCAACATAACGGGTTTCAAGAGACCCAGGTTGGATGCCCACCTATCTGCAATTCGCTCTGCCGTCTTATTAGAATTTATGACCATCTCTAACCTGCTGGCCACATTTATTTTCCATTTTGACTTCTATGGGTATTTTGAAGCCAATGTTAGTGTTTTGTTCCTGGTTTCCTATCCATTGTTTCATTCGTTGGTAATTGTCACGGGGAATGTGAAGCTTAAAAGGGTTCTTTGGGGAATTGTGGATTGTGTTAAAGGAAAACTTGCAATAGAAAGGTGTCTTATAAGTCAACATATAGAAAGCAAAAGAGAGACCAACGCTCAGCAAAAATAACATTTCGGTAACTCTACAGATGAGGTTTTAAAAAAGTCCAAATCCATTTTAAAGCATTAAGGCATAACAGTTTAATAAATATTAATTGTTGCCTATTTTATTTCTTATGATTGTAGAATTGCTTGAGAGGTTGATAGCTACCAGTCTAAAATGGTAGCCTACTATATATGCTATATGGTCAAAAACTTGTAAACACCTCCCACCTGTGTGAGCTTGTTGGTCATCCCATCCCAAAAACCATGGGCATTAATATGGAGTTGTCTCACCATTTGCAATTGTCCACTCTTCTAGAAAGGCTTTCCACAAAATTTTGGAGTGGGTCTGTTGGAACTGGGTTCAAATAAGCCAAAGAGCAATCGTGAGGTCAGGTACCCATGTTGGAAGATCTGGATTGCAATTGGCATTGCAATTTATTCCTAAGGTGTTCAGTAGGTGTCAGGGTACCAGGGGGCTTACCTCTCCTCGGGGTGGCCATGAGCGGCGGGGGGCACGGGTCCCCCATCCTGGCAGGACCCATGGCCCCTGGTACTGCGGGTACGCTTGCGCGCAATGCGCGACGAGTGTGCGGTGGGGGGGTTGCGCGCGCAGGCACGGGGACCCGCGCGTAGTGCGCCTGTGCCCATTACTGGTGTCAGGTGTGATCCTTGCTGAGGGAGGTTCCCAGCACACACCCTCTGCCTCTCTCTCTCTCGCCATTGGCTCCTGATGGAGAGGCTACCTGGTTGCCTCAGTTGCTGGGGAGTGGTCTCAGTCCTCCACTGGGTATAAAAGCCCAGTCAGAGCCCTGGCTCATTGCTGAGTTATTCTATCCCTGTACCTTGAACCTGTCTTTATTCCTGAACCTCTGCTTGGACTCCTGATTACCGACCCTTTGGCTTACCCTTCCGTTACTGAAACTATCTGCTTGCCTTGACCCGGATTGGATCCTGACTATTCTTCTTTGATTTCCCATGTGTACCTCGACCTCGGACTTTGGCTTGCTGCCCCTGCCAAGGGGTTCCACTCACGGCCCAGCTATTGGATGAGCATGCATACAGTATATGTATACTGCAGAACTTCAAGCATGACACATTTCAGTAGCTACAGTACACTCTGTTCCTGGTCACCTATCTGCCTTTCTGCCTATACTTGCCTGGTATTTAGGTAAACCCTCCATATGATTTTTGGACTTAGCTCAAATGAGTGTGATCATAAAGTGGCAGATGATCTGGAACAGAGTGTGTATATGAGAAAATTATATATGTCAATAGAAATGGTCATTAACGTTTCAGAAGATCTGGGATATCTCCCCTTTCTCTTGTGCGAGCGTGCTTCCTGATACACGTGTCTATTGGCATTTCCATTAACATATTTTAATTTTAATTTCTCTTTCTGTATTTTATTTGAACTCACCCGCTTTGTTGTTCTACAATTTGCTTTTGTAGCATCCTTTATGTGTTCAATAAACCGTGTTAAAAAAGAATTATAGATATCATGAGATATCAAGATTTGTTTATATATTATGATTTGTTTATATATTGATACTTGATCCTGTTTGAATAAAGGAAATTCATTATTAATTAATAAAACTGCATGTAAGATATTTATATTGCACTCAATCCTATCCAACATATGTTTAAAGCTGAACTCCGGGTGTAAATATTTATATATTGTGATGTTTAGGGATATTAGCACATATGGTGAGCGCTTTAAAGGAGAACTATGCGGTTAGGGCTTTTCCCCGTAGTTCTCCTTAGGGTGATGGGCTGCGAACGCCGGTATGTCTTCGCTCACTTCCCGATCTACTGAGCCGACCTGTGACAGTCTCATTGTCACAGGTCGGCTAGAACTATGAGGTGAGTGAAAAACCCCCCCCCCCCCCCCTCATAGTTCTCCTTTAAGGACGCAGTCCACTCACAATATCTTCTTTTTAAGTGCTTGGTAGCCCACTTCTATTTAAATGACAGTTCGCATATCCACCTTGGATACCCTCGCAGGGGTAGTTCAGCACAGCATCCACGCACTGCTTACAAAACAACACATCTTTAGCCTCCTGGCTTCCACTCTAAACATTATTAACTATGACCCACCGGTCCTCTCTGTAGTGCTGTCCCACACTTGTACTGGCGGCCCCTCAGGGTCTTAGCTCTCCCAGCCTCATCAGTTCTCCCAGCCTCGCTGGCTGTCTTTGTGTGCTTCCAGCACGCACACCACCTGACTCCTCTTTGCCTTTTGGCCGAGTCCCCCTGACTCCTGAACACCGTCCGTTCATTCCCAGCAGGAGCTCATCTGACTCCTCTCTGACTTCTGGGGGAGTCCTCCTGACTCCTTAACACCATCCGTTCATATTTCCCAGCAGAAGCTCACCTGACTCCACCTTGACTTGTGAGGGAGTCCTCCTGACTGCTGAACACTGTCCGTTCCTATTTCCCAGCAGAAGCTCACCTGACTCCTCTCTGACTTATGGTGGAGTCCTCCTGACTCCTGAACATCATCAACTTCTATCCCTGCAGGAGCTAATTCCCTTAGTCAGCACCCATTCCTTCAGGGTTGTGCACACCTGTGCAACCATTGGGTGCTGGTCACTGCTAAACCCCGGTCCCAGGACTGGAGCTTTCTTCCCTCCTGAATCTCTTTGAAACCTCCCAGTTCCCAGATCCTAAGCAGAATGCAGAAAAACTGACACCTCTCAGCCCTACTGGCTGAGAGTCCTGGTTGATCATAACACTTAATTCTACCGTGTGATTGCCACACAATACCACAATATACTTACATTGTCCAGCTTGGCCCAATGTATGCATGCATAATTTATAGCTGGGCGGTCCACGGGGCTCCTGTAAAGCACTGTTGTAGCCAGAGCTACTACAAAGCTGGCCGCAATATTCTAGGTCCTGTACTGCGCTGTGCTGAGCGACCTTTCAGGCAAAGTGGCCATTCACCTAGTATTTTTAGCAATGGAAACTAGGCGTTCTCTGACAGGACTAGGTGGGAATCAGGATGATACGGCCTCTTGTCCACTGAGATAACGCCTAGTATTCATTGATAAAAATATTAAGAGTTCTATGAATGGTCAATTTGTCGAGCAAGCGACCCCCTGTGTTTTCAGAGGGGAAGCTGCTGAGCATAGCAGCAGAACAGGACCCTAGACATTTAAGCCGGCAAAAAAATAGTTTGGTTTCTGATTTTTCATTTTTCGGGATTCGGGTCCGAAAGTCAATTCAGTTCGGGATTCGGACGAAGCCGAAATTTGCATTCATTTTGGATGTGGTACTATTTACGAAGAAATTTTCGTTGAAACAAAGTGACATTAGGAAAACAAAAAGGACATTTTTTTTAAACAGTTAATTGACACAATATATAAAAAGAAGCTTACTAGAATACCAGAATTATAAGGGGGACCCCAAGGGCTAAAAATGTTAATTTAAAAATGTTTTTTTTCTACCACACCCTCCTTAATCCGAGCAGTGTCCTGGCAGAGCAGGAAAGGGGGGGGAGCAAGTGGCCCCCCTCCTCCCTGCACCATACCAGGCCACATGCCTTCAACATGGGGAGGGTACTTTTCCAGGGGGGACCCACCGGGAAAAGCCCCTTGGCCCCATGGAGATGAGGACAAGGGTCTGTGGGCAGGGAGACTCATCTGCATCTGGGTACCCTTTCATAAAGGGGCCACCCAGATGCCGTCCCCTCTTGGGAATAAGTAAGGGGTAGTTGTTACCGCTACTTATCCACCAAAGAGAAATGTAAATAGTAAAAAAAAACACACCACACCGTGACCTTTATTAGGAAAAAACCCACAAATGTCAAACCATGTAGACCCATCGTCAATCACAATAAACGATGCCTGCCGACTTGCTGAAATAAATAAGTCCCGCCACCCGTCGACCCATAGGATCCCAACGAACACTGCGGCAAAATGACAGCTTTGGGCCCAATGTAAACAAATGGGCGGAACAATTCATGATGTCACTGGATTTGTTCCACCCATTTGTTGATATTCGGGACCAGAGACCTGTCATATAATAACACAACTCTGTTCATGAATGCCATGCGGGTCTGGCAGTCATTTTTATTAATAACAACAAATTGTCTGACTGTTGGCTGAGGCTCTCAGACCCGATTGGCATTGGGGAAGAGAGTTGTTCTGCAGTTTGGATGGCACCCCAACACACTTGACTTTTTAAGTCACATTAACAAATAAAAGCTTATGTGTGATTTGAGTGATTGGGTTTACATCTACTCCCATTGACCCCCATTGACTACAGTGCTTTATTCTGAAGAGGGAACATTGCATAATCCACGGACGTTTAACGTTACAGAAGTGGAAAAATACAATTGCTAGATCAGACCAGGACGGGGTCAGTGAGATGTGGTGATGAGCTGAAACCTGTCTATGTTTTGTATGTTATTTCCATATCACGGTTTGGAAACTTGCAGTCTGTGTAACCGCAATAAAATGATGTGTTGTGGATGCCGGGTGCCCTAAAAAAGAATTCTGAATGGTAAATCTGACTTTGCATATGTTCTTATGTGAGCACACTTCAAAACATGGTGCTCTGTAGAAGCATTGCTTTCCTATAATAGAATTCCTTCCCTTGGAATGATTATTATTTTTATTATAGTAATAATCATTATTATTATTATCATCACTATTATTCAGGATTTATATAGCCTTTGGCTCAGACAGCCTGTCATCCAACATCACCCCATACAATTTCAACAGCACCTATCATTACTCTCTTCACTGTGCCTGCAATAACCAGCGCCCCCCCTCCTGCAACACATACCCAGGCTAGCATTTACACTGTGCCCCCCTCAGCCGCCACAGCAGAGACCCACATACCTCCTAATTGCTCACACATCCCCCTGAGTGCTCACCACCCTCACCATTCATGGACCTACACCCATCGACCCCTTGCCGCTGATTACGCTCCACCATCCATCCATTGGTAAGTTGGCCATCTCTATTCAGTTTATATATGGTAGTAGCGCTTCTGTACTCCCCTTTTCTTTGATCCCCTTGG